TACCTAGAGTGACATACCGTCTCCGCTCAGAATCGTTTTTCTTATACAATGATATTATATCGTCGAATTCAAATTTAATATCATCCATTATACAGTGACCTACTTGTAACCTACTGTACAGCAGAGCGGGACCAACTTGCCCACATTTTTAATATTAGATTTCTATCAATTTAATGAAATAATATTTATAAAAACAATGGTATGAGACTTTTAATTTAACTATTTGAATATTATACCTATAAGAATGAAATATCAAAACATTTAAACCAATACCAGTATTCCACTGTTCAAAATTGTGTAGTTAGCTGACTCTTTATTCTTTAATACTATAATATTTCTACCCCTACTTATACAAATGCATACAATAATTAATTAATAATAATTCATACATTTTAATAGAAAACTAGTCAAGTAAAAAATTATTAATTTGTATGATCTCAAGGAAAAGTCAGTTCTAAATAAATCTTGTCAAATGCTGAAATGCCTATGTATGCACTTATAGGCTATAGCCACTTGTAAATCATATTAAACCAACATTAAAAAAGGATGCACTTAAATATTTAAAAAAACATTTAATCAGTAAATAATGCATTATAATCAATGTTTGGTAAGACATAGTTGAATGCTAAAATATAAGCGAATTGTTTTATTATTGAATAGGTACAACATTTTTAATAGTTCATAAGACAAAAAAAAAATTATAAAATTACAACTGTATAATATTAATAAAAAAAAAATATTTTATAACAAAAACAAATAACAATGTTTATAAACCTTTTGTTAGAACTACATGACATTAGAACTTGTTTGAATTAAGATTCTGACATCTACAACACAAGAGCATCTCAAATGTTTTATCATTTAAACGATTTCTTCTCGGTGTCATGATCTGTGATCCACTAGGTACTAAATAAACGCTCTACTGGCGCAGAAGAGGGACTGTTGTATTCAGTGGTGGTTTTTCAGGGGAGGCAAGGGAGGCAATGCCTCCCTAGAAAATAAGAGAATATACATGGTTAATATTATTTAAATCAGAAAATGTTGTGTGTTTATATTTTAAAATATAGACACTATTATAAAAGGGAAATAAATAAAATATATATTTAAATTATGTATTGAAGGAACTATGGAGTGTACCATGCCCGTTCTCGGTCTTTAAACAAGACCATGATTTAGTACACCTTATGCTATAGTATATTGTATATTATATATTATGACAGAAAATAGTAATACCAAAGCGTAACTTACTAGTTAGGTGCTTTAAATAGTGAAAATGAAAATCTTCTGACAGATTTTTAAAAAAATATATTGTTTTTAAACAAAATTAATTAGTTTTGAGAATTGGGGGATTTGCGATTACATGTCAAGAAGGGTTTCAAGGGTTTCAAGGGTATTGTTTCCTCCTCAAAAATTTTATGCCAGAACCGCCACTGGTTCAGATTTGTATTGTATTTGAAAACAATTTTTTTTATGATTGGTGAACGATAGTAGAGAACGATGTATATAGTGCATGCCCGCATGCAGGTTCTCGTAATACCGTCGTTGGCAATAATAACATGAAATATATTTATCTAATTTTATAAATAATTTATATTATATTATAATTTTAGTAACATCGGTTTTATAATTTTGTAGTGGCACTATAATATTTATCTAGATAAGCCCATTTAATTATCTAAGCTAAACATTAGATAAATAATTATCTAGATACTTTAAAAGATAATTTATTTCAAAAAATCTTATCTAGATAATTCCCAACACTGCCTAAAAGTTGCTGACATAGCTATCTATTTTGTCATTTTAATAAGTCTAAAAACTAATAATAACATCCGAACGTTTCGGACAACAGGTTAGCTATAACAGCATATCAAAATACAAACATAATCAAAAACTTATTGAATTTCGACAATTATAATTATTGGTAGACGGAAATAGTAGGTAAGTACAGAGTGTTTAGTTGTCTAAGGTGCTACGATTAGGGACTAAGAAAACTTAAGCTTAAAACTAATTCTGGACAATACACTTGTAGTTTAAAAATAAAACAGAGATCTAACATTTACCTCCGGATTTTCAACGATCGGCCGTGGTACCGTGGTACTAGAAGAACCATGGTCTGTTTCTATAATATCCGCGACGGTTCCCTTAAACACAAAATAATTATAATATTATTTTCCCTAGTCGAAGGTAGGTATTTTTTAAAGTGCTGCCAAAGTAGTTCAAAAATTTTCATTGAACTCTTTCGAGCATGACTGAATTACAAGCCGTTTAAGGGTCCCAGATGACAGAGCCGTATTCTAAGATTGGCCTACCAAGCGAGTAATAAAGCGCTTTTAAAGGGGATACTAATTTGAATTCGGTAGCTACCCGCTTGACAAAAACGAGGGTTTTGAGAGCTTTGCAGAAGACCCGTTCTATATTATGCAGGATTATCTATACATATATAGGATTTAGCTTGGGATTGAAGACAAAACCTAAATCATTAACAGATTTGTTGAGTGGAACCAAAGAAGAACCACTTACAGTGTAATTAAATCTAATAGGAGAACTCTTACGTTATAATACAAAATCCCTCTTTCTATTTTTTTTGATGCTCAGTTCATCGATAACTTCATCTGGCATGATTATTGTATTGACCGGTGACATGCCTAACACAAATCTATGGCATAAGTTCAACATTCACGACAACTCAACATTTTTTCCATTGGCTCAGCAACTCAACTTTCACGACATCTCACAAAATCTATTTCATTGGATGAGCAACTCAACATTTGAAACACCTCAACACAAATAATTTAAATCTCTGTTTTTAAAAATTGTATAACTTTTAAAATCTAAAGCAAAATTGTACACAAAAAAATATTGTTTAGGGTAGTTGAAATGCAATAATAATTAATTTTAGTGAGTTTTCTATTTCGTTTTGCATTTCGATTTTAATTATTAATATCATAAGTTTTGCAATTAAATGTGCAATTATATTGCAACTAAATTTCTTTTTAATACATTTTGCAATTAAATATGCTATTTCGATTTTTATTTTTGATAAAACAATTCTATTAAAAAATATTTTAATTATTATTTAAAAACTCTATAAGATGCTTTTTTTGATATCTAAAATCGTGGTCGGAAAAACCAGCCACGATTTTATTATCATTATTATTTATAAACTCTAATAAATTCTCAGTTATTAATATTTCTTTTTTTAATTATTAATATCATAAGTATTATGAAAAATATTTTTAGGAAATATTGCATTTCGATTTTTATTTTTAATAATTAAGTTTTGCGAAAAATATTTTTATTATTTTTGCATTTAATAAGTTTTGTGAAAAATATTTTAATTATTATTGCATTTCATAAGTTTTGTGAAAAATATTTTAATTATTATTGTATTTCGATTTTCTGATCTTTCTGCACATTGTTTTATTTGTGATCTTTTATTGATATAAAATGGAGCTGTCCCAGGAATGGTACATATATACTACTCATGCATACAAATAATTTAGAGCATAGAAGTCATTATGCAATAAAAAATTTTGAATTTTATTCCTCAAATCATAATATATTTTCAATTTTCTATGGCTTTGGTGTACAAAAGTGTTCGTTTGTCATCCTCATATAGCACTCCCGGTGGTGACGACTATCTGTAGTAAAATTTTCAATAAAGTTTTCAAACAAGTGACGACACCTTATCAATACACCTTGATCCACATATATTTTATCGCTCACGTTATCAACATATATTTTTATCACACACGTTATTCTAATCATATATTATTGTAATCAGTTGTCATTTTGTTATCATATATTAGTAATTTCCTAAACAGAATAGACTTAAAAACCTATATTCACACGCATTAGAATTAATGCCCATTTTAACCATCTGCTTAATGTGCCAAACCGACTTACGTCTTTGTCACCAAGATGTCGCAGACATTTACTTAATGATATTAAAATGCCTATTAGCATTGAAACCGATATACTTAACGAAAATTGTATAGACGACATTAGCATTGTCTTAATAGCCGCTGACACTAGTTCGCACGCTCGCCGAACATTATAAAATAATCAATAAATGACCATTATACCTATAGTATACAAATATCGATTAGAAGATATTTCTTGCCATTAAGTATCAACTAATGAAAAATACTTTAATCCTAATAACCTAATTAATGTCTTGGTCGTCGCCAGGATGTCGTAGACACTTAGCGAGTATACAATTCCCTCTTAATATTGAAAAAAAATGTCCCTACTATTTAATTTCCAGGCACCGGACTGAAAGAGCCGGTAGCCGTTTAGTACGTCTACTGTCTCAAACCGTTGTACACGTTGTTGCGAACCAGATGTGGAGTACGGTTGACAAGGTCGAATCAAATGAAGTAACACGTAGTAAAATTAGTTATTATTATAAATTTATTGACCAAAGGTTAGTGGTTAATACTTTTTAAGCACTCAGAGTAATGTTACAATTTAAAACAAATATCTCTAGCATGAATACTGTCAACTAGTCGTCACGCAGAAATAGTGTGTCTAGTCTCCCTGCTGGGGAGCCTTTATATAGTAGACAACAGTCAGATTACATGGTCCTTTACAAGGTCCCACTTAAGTATTCGCTATGGCGCCTCTAGTACTTTAGAAACTAACTTTTCCTTGTGGCACTCGTTAATAGTAATATATTGTGCCACGTACACCATGTGTAATACTGTAGTAATGATATTATATTCTTGTGTGGTCCTAGCCTTGGCTATTGCAACACCTCCCCCACAAAACGAGGGCTGATGTTTAAGAAGACCTCTAACTGTAAGTTGTCCTACGACTAATATTAAATATTCATACTTTACAAAAAATAATTGCATTACTCTGGTGGTATAATTATTCCTTAAATTATGTTAGTACATACACAATACAATATAATACATTTTTTTTTATTATTATTATTATAATATGACAAATTCACAATAATACAACATATACGAAAAACAGTTTTTAAGCGTAACCCCTTACATCAACATAGTCAGTAGTCTTTTTATAATCATTTTCTTAAGGCCTAAATACCCATAAAACACCATACATGGAGCTCTCGGAGTTGAAAAGTGTATAAAGCTACATAAATGCGCGGTTATTAAATCTATTTGATCCTTTGTGAAAGGATCTCCTAGCTCTGTGTTGGTGGTACTAATGTGAACCCTTAAACAAGATGGATTGTTGTACCTATATGAATCCCTTGGATTCTCATGGAATTGATGGTTCATTGTTATCCTTAGCTGATCTATGAAGTGCCCTAAAAATGCTTTGTCAATTCTTATAGCACTCATTTTCGGGTTACAGCGATTTTCTATAATAATATATGTCATACAATACTGTTGTATTTTTTTTTTTTTTTATAATGGAACATTTTATTTATTTATTTATTATTTTTTTTTTTTTAGTTTACTATTTCGTTAAACAATATGGCAGTTAAGGTATCTACTATAACAGTGTCCGTTTGTACGGAGTGGAAAAGCAAGTGGCATGGTGTTTCATGCCCCCCTAGGGCCCCTTCCTCATTCTGCCATTCAATAAAGGTGGTCAAAACGTCTTGTATCGCATGTATCCTTGTCCGGTTTAAAAGGAACCCGCTTCTCCGGTTGGCCCTCGCCAAATGCTTTAATAGACAGACCGGCGCCTGACTACCCTCACGTAATTGTACAGTATGCTCATCTTCGTGTAGCGTGTAGCGGAGATGATCCATAAATCTAACTAAGTCTCTTGCCGTGCTCATATTTTTTCCTATTAAATATTTTATAATGTAGTTACTTCTACTCTATGAATTACTATTCTATGACTACGGTATTTTTGTTTATTTGTATAAGCACTATATAAACTATAAACTATCATTATTCCTAATACAGTAGACGCCGCTTATAAGACTCACGGATATAAGGTTCAGTCTCTGATTGGACTCAAAATCGTTTGGAACGGTCCGGACGTATCCAAATACATTAAAAAAAATCGGTTATAAGACTCAAAACTTCGATTATAAGACTCAAATTTCGTAAAATAAATAGTAGAAAATCTTTTTTTGGTTATAATTTAGAAATAAATTTGTATTGAAAAATTAATTAATACTCGTGTTGATTATTTCTAGTTTCTGGTGGTACCTTATAAGTTATAACGTATAATAAAAATAAATAATAAATACATTAAAATATGTACATACATCCTTTATAATTTTTTATTAATGTATAATTTTCATAATATTTTTATATGTAATATTTACCTATTATAATTTTAGTTTTTTTTATCAGGATTATTAAATTTATTCAATAATAAAGTATGTAATATGTAAAATGTGTTAAAGTATTAAAATCAAAGCAAAATATGTAGTAAAATAAAATTTATAAATACGTAATTAATTTTTTTTTCCACTTCGCCTATAAGATTCATTCGGTTATACGACTCACTTTGTGCTGGTCCCAAAGTGAGTCTTATAAGTGTCGTCTACTGTATTATACATAATATTATAATTATTTTTGTATGCATACCACTGGTTGATTTTAATATACTTTTATCTTTTTCCTCCTGGACGGCGCTTTCCAACTCCTCGATGGTTTTGGAAAAGTCACTAATATCGTTCAGCTTGACTACTGGATTTTGGTGGATAAGTAAACTGTCGAGTTTAGCGATGGGTAGTAACGGAATTTTTACACTAGTGGGTATGTTTACTGGTGGAATGAAATCGGTATACTGAACAGACTTCAAGTGCCTGTTAGGTGTTAAGACTACTTGTGGTGTATGCGCCATGCATTGTTCACTTAATGTTATTATAATTACGCCCCTTAGTTGTATATCCTTAGCATTATCCCATTGATCGCAGGTGACAGCTACATCATCTAATGTGTTTATTATATAAATCCATTTATTATGATTTCATAATTTATACTTAGTTATCACATTTCATCATTTTCTTGCGATGTTAATTCATTTACCAAAATATAATATTATAATAATACCCAAGGCTGGGGATTAACGAGTTAAAAAACAAATTAAATTAAAACGTTAAGTTAATTAACTCATTACTTTTTTTTTCAAATTAACTTTCAACTTAATAAGTTAATTTTTTTCAATAAACTTGTTAACTTCAAGTTAATTTTATTTCAAAAATATCTAATTTAAGTTAATTTTCCTCCGAAGAATAATCCAAATTTTTTAATGTGTTGCACTTTGATGTATCATTTTAAATTTCCCCAGTAATTTTCTTGGATGTAAAAAATAACCATCTAATAAACCATATTATGTGAATTTTTATTTTTGCAAATTAGCAAATTTTGACTTTACACTAAGTTAAGTTACTTTTTTTTCAAAGATAACTTTTAACTTAAGGATTTAACGAAAAAAAGTACGAGTGATTTTTAACTTAACCTAATTATTTAAAAATAACTTTACTTAACGAGTTAAAAAAAAACGTTAACCTGCCCAGCCTTGATAATACCTATACTAATATTAAATAACTAACACAAGATAGGTACAAGGTACCTATATTGGCTATAGATATTATTTGTGGATTTATATTTATATCCTAAACGTAAAGAATATACTATTGATTTCGGTTTTTAACCGTAAGACAAATGACCATAGATACATGAAATTTCATCTGAATGTTTAGATTGCCATTTTTTAAACACCATACAATTTTCAAAATATTTTGAATCATACATGTTGAACTATTTATAGGCATATGCAATTTTCAATTATTTTTAGTTTTTTTTTCGATTACTTAATTTAATTGTCGATAAAAAAAATGGTCTCTCGATGACATAGCTTGAAATTTTAATATAAGGTATCTCATAAGTTGATTTAATATAAATACAAAGGGCCATTTTTTTTCTTATAAGCATTCAAAGTTCGATTTTTGACAACATTTATCAAATTTTAAATTTTAAAATGATTTTGTAGTTAAAAATGTATAAATTGTTCAACTTTTATAGTTAAGGATTGAATAATTACATCAAGGTTCTACGTAAGTAGGTTATTCTGTAACCAAAAAATCTCAAAAATATAAAAACACAGTTTTCTTATACTTATTTTACATTTAAATTTGGAAGACATTACATACTTATTAAATAAACAAGAATTACGATTTAAGTTATTTTGTTGTAATTTTATAATATTAATTCAACTTATCGAATTAATAATAAGTAATAAGATTATAAATATAATATAAAATATTCACACTGGCAAACTTTCACCGCTCAGAATCGTTTTGAGTATACAATGGATTACAGTGATATTATATCATTGAACTTAATTTTAGCACCACCCATTAAAGTGACCCACTTGTAACATACTATAAAGCAGAGCTTCACCCACTTACCCGTATTTTTAACTATAAATATTGATGCGAATTGTTTATTTTTAAGACTCTTTTAGTGACTGTAGCAGCGATGAGCAGGAATTTATGCCGACAAAAAAATTTGTTATTACATTTTCTGCCGATGAATGGCAACAAATTAAACCGCAAGAAACAGTTTATAAATTTAATGAAAAGTCACGGCACACACCAAGCACAAGGACATACCACACACTAGCTAAAAATACTTGGACGCCTATATTAGCTGAACATTTTTGGATACACAATCAGTTACCTTGCTGTTTATCATTTAACAGAGCCAAAGTGTATACGACTGGATCAAGTTATGTTAGTGTTATTGGTCGTTGTACAATTTGTAACTCACTTTTTAAAGGGACTATTGAAGATATGCCTCCAGAAAATGCAAGGTATTAAAAGAATATTGTACATCCTATTTTTGTTTAAAAAATGTTATGTCGACATGTAACATTTTGAAAAACTTTTATTTTCAGAGTTCTCATGCATTGTACTTACTCCGGTAACTTTAATGAAGCCCACAAATTATTAAAAAAACGTCGGCTGCTTGGTCCAGCAAAGACCAAAGTTATTGATTCAATTTTTAATGTAGGACTGCCATGTAAAACGTACAGAGAAAATGAAGCTGCGCGATTAATGAAAATAGGTAGGTACTTATAATAGTTATGTAGGTGTTTAAATTAAACAAAAACACAATTTTAATTTAATTAAAGGTAATTAGGAATAATATCATATCTATCAGTAGTGTATTTATAAATATTTTTTAACACTTAATTTTTGTTTAATTTTATACAGTACATGAATACATTTATTCCAAACAAAATTGATACAGTATATATTTTAATTTCACAGCACAGGTTCAAAAAAACTATTGTAACACACCCCATGTACATTTCATAAATATATTGAATTAATACTAATTTGTAATATTCTCCTAAAATATTTTTCATATTTATGAACATCGAATTATTGGTTTGGTTCAGTGTTTAGTTTTCATCAGGTACCTATACTGATATGGATATTAGTAGGACATGCGTATACCAGTTTCATATGGGGCCGTGTGCTTTTTTGGGGAAGAGAGAACGTAAAGAGAGAAAGACGATATTTGTAAGGTTATGTCCAAAAACTGTTTACAATATTTGTCAAATTCAAATTTGTATATTGATTGTTGTGCCTGAAAATGGAAATTGGAATACTCAAATTACTCTAAACTTAAATTTGCGTACATTAATCATTAATGTTATTTATTATCATGTATCAATTATCATATCAACATTTGTCCCGTGTACCACAATATAACATTAAAAAAGTATCACTAAATTTTCTAGGGATAACTTCTTATGCCCTATCCATTCTTACATAGGGATGTGAAATTTACGTACATTTTTAGATTCTGAGTGGAACGATGAATGTATTGATTTTACAATGATGTGTGTTTTTTTTAAATTTTTGTGTCTGTGTACACGATAAGTAGTTCGATTTACAACTTCAGTATCTTGTTCGATTGGAAAATGAATATCGTTGGTGCATTGGGGAGGTCAAAATTTAAAATTCCCAGTAATTTTCAAAAGCGCCAAGATAAACAAAAGATAAATTAAGGAAAAACGGGAATTTTTACGCAAAATCGGTTTTTCAAAAAATTGAATTTAGTTTTTGGTGTAACTTTAAAATAAATGACCGTACCTACATGAAATTTTCACTGGTTGTTTATATTGGCATTTTCGATACACGATAACATTTTTAAAATATTTTGATTTATTTTGAACTGTTTTGGGACATTTTCATTTTCCATTTTTTTTTAGTTTTTTTTTCAAAAAATATCGATAAAATTTTATTTGATAGTTAATAAAGCTTGAAAATGTAATAGAAGGCTCCTAGTTTATTGCTTCAAAGGCAGATGAAAAATATTAAAAATCCTCAGTCACACTATTTTTTATAAGCATATATAGATCGAATTTTAACAAAATGTATCAAATTTAAAATTGAATAATAAAGATTCCACGTAAGTAAATTCTGTTACCAAAAAATCTAAAAAATACATAAGCACACTTGCCCACCTTTTTGTGTTGAATTTTTAATTTTGTAATTTTTTTGTATTTTTTGTTTTAAGCATCTTTTCTGGTGGTGAATTTAGTTGGTGCATTCGGAATTTAAATTATTATACTTTTCTGAAATAGTAATTTTTTTATAACTTTAAAGTCTCCATGACCCTTTATTATGTGTTATAATAACATTTTTTTTTCAATTTTGACCTATTAAAAGTATCAACTAGATTCACTTTTCTATCAGAGTAGATGCTAAAGTCAAAAATGAGAGCTTTTTTAATACCACAAATGGTTATCACAGCCAAAAAAAAACACCCATCATTGTAAACACAATACATTATTTCGCTTTGTTTAAAATCTAAAAATGTATATACCTTATATCGTAGGTAATTTTTATAGCCTATAGGCATATCAATTTAGTATAACATAATATGTGCAATGTCTAATATTTTTAGGAAATTGTGAACCTGCAATTATTCCAACTGGAAATTCTTTAGGTGCTATGAAATGTCGAAAATTAGCTAAAGACCGTAGACACGAAGATACATTGTCATCTTTAGCAATAATGAAAATGGAAAACGGATACATTAATGTAATCCATGACATAGGGTACGATCCTTTTTATGTGCATTATCATTGTGCAGAACAAATTCATATATACAGAGGATACTGTAATAGTACTAAAATACCAAAGTTAGTCATTGATGCAACTGGTTCGGTCGTGAAAAAATTTCATAAATTCGGTGAAAAAAAAACTAACTCATTATACTTATATTAAGACCTGGTTAGCTTAACAAAAAACGTAAATTTTACTGTAACAAACATGGTGAGTGAAAAACATAACAATTTATCTATTTCAAATTGGCTATTAAATTGGATAAGTTCAGACGTAAAAAAACCGAAGGAAATGGTTTGTGATAACTCTTTGGCCCTACTTTCCGTTGTTGTTCAAAGTTTCACTCAATACTCTTCACTTCTAGTATATTATATACGAGTTTGTTCAGACCTGTTAACTAAAGAACTAAATTCAAATTCACATTTGGTTCCGTGGTGTTTTGTGAGAATTGATGTGGCACATTTTTTAAAAATTTGCACAAAATGGACTCCATTAAAAACTGTAATTCGGTGAGTAAGAGAGATTATTTTACGAGTGATTGGACTTTTAATAAAATGTAAATCTTTGATAGAAGCCCAATAATTACTACATAGCTTGTTTGTAGTATTAATTAATGAAACAAGCGGAATTCACAAAAATGGACAGGAGACTCCATGTGAAATAAATTCTAAAATACTTGTTGACGCCACTTCTACGGGCCTTGTACTGTTTGAACAGCAATTTAACGATATATTAGCAGCTGCAGAGTCAGATTATGAAGCTAGGAACTTTTTAGAAGAAGGATATGAAGGATTAAATGAGTATGATAACCCATTTCAATCGTGGGCTGAAAATATATACAACAGAAGTGAGAATTCGATACAAGAAGGTTCGGCGTTAAATCCTTTGTACTTACCAGCATTGGCCGCTTATATTATTAAAAATATGAAACTATTACTCTTATGGTCGGGCATCATGATTTCGATATTAGGTTATGGTGATGATATATCGACTTCAGCAGCAGTTGAATCAAGCTTTAAGAAAAAAGAAATTATACATAAATTTGTATGGTAACATATTTAATTATTTAAGGGCAATTTAAAAAAGTTTGAAGTAAGAAACGCCCAAAAGTTCAAATATCTACAAATAACATAATATTATGTCATATTTGGTTATATAAAATATATACTTATTCCTTTTCACTAATTGTATTTCTCACTTTTTAGGTTTCTTATTGTGATCGCGACAAATTTTCAACAATGCATAATAAAATGTTTAAACATGTAGAGGTATTGAATTTCATTTATGATATTCTAAAAGATGGAGTATCAAAATCTACATATATTAAAAGAGCGGATATCATAATGACATTAATGAGTCCTGATGTTCAACCATTGGAATATGGTAGCTCCTTGGTGACATGCGATGCGACGATAAGCCATGTTATGCAAAGCCCTACTTAGTGGCATTCCATCGGCCAAAGAGATAACTGAGTGTATATCGTCCAAATGTGATAAATCAGAAAGAAATATTATGTATCTAACATACAAAATGGGTAAGGAAGGCCGTCTGGATGAATTACAAACGTTTTTGGATGAACGAATTGAAACAGACTTCATAAATTGTGCACAAATTTTCTGTGATAATATGAAGTCAGTTAAAACCATTATTTCAAAAAATGAGTTTATTTATTGACGTCCTTTATTGAGAAGGTAATTAAATTAAATTAAAGTATATTACTAAAAATTATACATTCAAATATTGTATTATTTCTAGGTGAAAATGATCAGTGTAGCAGCAAATATCTCTATGGTACGGTTATGTGATATTTCTCCTATAATCATATGTGACACAACCACATATGAACTTCGTGGCGTGATAGCATTTCGTCAGGGAAAATCGAAACTGAGACATTCAATCGGTCAATATACAACATACGCGAAGCGTGGTACAAACAACTGGGAGTTGTATTATGACCTTAAAACTAAACCTGTGCCAATTAAGGACACAATGATAGTGCCATGTCCATTTTTATTATATACAATTTAAATTGCATCAGTTGAGAACGGCTGGGCCGATTTTGCTCAAATTTTTTTCCAGGTGAAGGTTTTTACGAAAGAAAATTTTTAAAAAGTCAACCGAATAATTAGAAAAACTGCAAAAACTATTTATTGATGTCTGGGATTTGAACTCGATACCGTTGTCTTTATTTACTCTATGGTGTATTATATTATATTGGTTGCTATTGGTTAATCAGGCATGTTTGTTGATTTGTATTATTATTTTTTGTCAATATATCTTATATATTATAAATGAATGATGGTGTGTAGATTGGACCTATGGGAAAAAGATACGCTAATTTAAAAAGGGTTAAATTTGGTTTTTTTATTCATCGGATTTCAGTACGGTTACATTAGGTTAGAATTTATAGGTAGGTGGAATAAAGTAAAAACGTCAAACTTGGTATAACTTTGGTACTTTTTGAGTTAAATCATACACTTACGTACAAATAGCACGGGGTCCGCGATCTACCACAGGTAGATTGCCTACCTTATAATATTATACTGCTGCGAAACAGAATTTTTATTCCGGGCAACAGAAAAATTAAGATAAATCTAGAACATCATACACCGAATATTAAATAACGCATTAAACAATGTTTGAGTCATATAGAGTTGGTAAATTTAACGGGAAACGAAGTGCATGGGATCAGCTAGTATAATTATAATAACAATTAGTTCAATATTAAATGTTAGCATTTGAGTGTAATGTACAATTTAAAATATGAATGCTAATCGTGTTCAATGTTAATGTAAATTAAATCAAATGTAAGTATTGATTATGATATTAATATATTATATGTAAAATACTTATCTCGAAGTATGGTATTGGTGAAAACTAAAAATCATTCATTTAAAATTTAAAATGACAATGAATGTCTATGTCTAACACCAATTCGTAGTTAGATTATACAACAGTAGGTACATACTTTGTTCAAGTACTTTTTTCAAAAGTATTAAAAATACGTACTATTGGTTAGTTAAAAAGTAGGTAGTTGAATACTTTCACAGTTAACTCAAGTACTTTACAAGATTCCTATGCGTCCATTTTACTTATGAGTTTTTGATGAGACAGTATTAGAAATAGGCTTATTTCATATGTGAGGGGGGAAAGCTTAAGTAGGTGGGGGTAAAGCGTGAAAGTTTAAAACCGTAAAGTTTCGCGTTCTGTGACAGTCGTGCAAATGCATGCAAATGACGTGCTAATGATTGGTAAAAAAAAGTTTGTAAAAAAGTGATTATTTCTTTTTGTTGGGGGCTGGGGTAATGCGCGAAAGTGGAAAACTGGTTTTCCCGGGAAAATCTTAAAGTTTCGGGTTCAGCGACAGTCGTGCAAATGCATGCTAATGGCGTGCTAATTCGAGACTTAGTTTTTTTTGTAAAAAGTTCAATGAGGGGGGCCGGGGTAATGTACGTGAAAAAAATTGTGTCACCAACATAATTTTTTTCGTACTAATTATTTATAAACGGCAAGCGGGCCTCGCCATAAGAAATCTGGTTTTGAACTATGGTGCGGTTTTTTTTTTTATAATTATTTAAAGTTCAAAAATTGATAAAATATAGAAAAATCACGAAAATTAGCAAATTATTTTGAGTTAAGAATTCGTAAAAATTTTTCTTTTTAAATCTAAGGTTTTTAAATGTAATACAAGATTCCTTATAAGATTATCTACCTTCATCAAAAAAAAAATTTCTATAAGAAGGTCAAATTAAATTTTTATGAGCGTTTGAAATTCAAATTTTTACAACATTGGATATTCACTCGATTTCTCATGCAGCAGTTTTGTTATTTTATTGTTATTCAAAAAAATATTACTGTAGATACATGAACATTTTACTGAATATTTGTATCTTCATTTACTATACACCAAAAAAATTTAAAAATACTTTGACTCTTTTTGGGCTGTTCACGGACATTTTCAGTTTTCAATTTTCTTAGTTTTTTATTCTATAAATATCTATAAAATTGTATTTGTTGGGTAAAAAGAGTGAAAATTTAATGCAAGGGTTCTAAGCATTTAAAGTTCAATTAAACTGATTTTTATTGACGTAAACTTAATATTCAATAAAATCCGAGTTGCGTACATTTATAAATAATTAAATAATAAATATAATTATACATTATACATTATGCACAGTATAAAACAAATTAATGATATACCAGCATCCAGAGGCTTGTCCAGGATACAATTTCTGGACAGGCTCTGTTATAAGGAATATTTGTACGATATACCTACACATTTTTTTTTAAGGAAATTAACTATAACAACTAATAATATTGTAATATTTGTTTATAAGAGTGAATTGATTACAATAATTACAACGTTCACTCACAAACTCGCTCGACCTACGATTTATGACTGCCGAACGATGGACGTAGTATTATTATTTTGGACATAATAATATTATTATCAATTATAAATTAATTTTTAATAGCTATCATATCATTATAATGGTTGTTGAGTGTCACGCTTGTTTTTTTGAAAAGCGCTTATTAGTATAGTTATTGATGAATTGTATATTTATTAATTGTCTATTTGTCTATCAATTGTGTATTTGATACTTATTTATATATTTTATTACGATTTTCAGTGATGCATATTTCTTCAGTTTTGAAGTTCAATTAACAGATATATTATTAGTTAAGAAAACAATTTATAGTTATAACATGACTTTTAGACAACTGATAACCTAACATGATTTTTCCACCAAAATAAACGTGAGAAGTTCATCTAGGTTTGGTCGTGCCAGATTTTCGATATCTTTTTTTGTCTATTTTATATAATTTTTTAAAAATTTTGAATATTTTGAAATTTTCACATGAAAATATAATCGGTTTGAAAAAAAAATTCGAAAATCTGGCTCGAAAAAACCTAGAGAAACTTCTCACGTTTATTTTGGTGAAAAAATCATGTTTCTACGACTAACGAGGAAAACTTGAAGTACGACACCATGTTTTTACGGCCGAATTTTCGTACCACAACGGCCTCTTACGGTTCTAGACCAAGTCCTACTCTACAATTTGTTTAATAGGTATTTTTACTGCAAACCGCTTGAACGAGCTGTGTTTGAAGTACGAAACCGTTTTTGTTCACTAACAAAATACGACAAATAATGGAGAGTCAAAAATGTCAAAATTCCGACTATGAGGTACCAGGGTCGCATGGGGTCCAGTCGCTACTGGTTCGCAGTTCTTCGGTTTTGTCTACGGCGGCGGCATAGCTACACGAAAACTCAATAATAATGTTACACTCGTTCAACGCCACCACAGCATACGTTCCTGGTACATATATCCGGATTGTACGAGTTCGAGTATTTACGTGGGATTTACGTATTTTACGTACTCCGCTGCAATAATATCACACACCATTATAAGCTAAAATCTTACGGAATAATAAATAACGGCCAGACTGCCGTCAGTAGAAATCGGTTACATCAAATAAAACCATTAAGAGGACACCCGCAATATCAAAAAGTTATCGTGAGCCTGGGAACTAGATTGTTCTTTGGCAGCAGATACCCTTTTTTTTCCCTTTCCTTTGGCGGCATCATAAAATAAAGTCACACACTCACACACATCCTACGTTATACCATTATAAGTGTGTGCCGATATCTTAATTTATTGTCGTTGCTAAGAGGACTCTACACCCGCTGTGTTGTCTCCGTCTTACAAATGATGTACAACATAGAAAAGACTGTTTTGCGAGGGAAAGAACCGAGTAAGGCTACAGTCATAACTAAGAAACAAGATTTGTACCACGTAAAAAGGAGAACTTTGGCTGTGCAACGTTGTTTTTATTTTTCTGTAATCACTGATATGAAAAAAGTTCTTACCGTTTCAAAAACCATTATTGTTTGTGTTTTTCAAACTTGAAAAACTTTTTTCACATAAATAGCCGCTAGGCAAATTTGAAGCCCAATTTGTATATTGACCCTAAAATACAAATTTTTTTTTGGCGCAAATGGTCCATGAACCTTATAATACAGTATATAAATAAAAAACACTAAGTTGTTTAAAACCCTTTTTCTTAGGTGTTTTATTTTTTTCGTACCTATGGCTATATATAGAATTTAATGAAACTAAAATCGTATGAATTTATGTAACAATGTTTTTTTATTTTTATTTAAATATATACAATCTGTTTACAATAAATAACAATAAGTAATTAGGATAAAATAGAAAAATATACAAACATGAACAACTTGAAAAGGAGACTTCTCATTAACAGAACCTCAGAAAAAAAAATGTTAACTATACATTAAATTATACTTCGTTTCATATTGCGAAAAGCCGTCATCCTCAACAATATAGGTACTGCTGCGACCTCGGTGAAGAAGTGGACTCGACGCCGTTTGCAAATCTAAACACGCCGACAGTAACTGTCGGGTAAAAATTATATAATATAATATACATAATACATATCATAATATAGTATATTATAATTATAGTATAATAGGCTATAAATACATAGAGTTTCAGGAAACACACGACATAATATATGGTTGAAAGGAGTCATAAGTAGTTTAAATATTTTTATGTGCAATAATAATAATTATGAGAATATTAATATTTTACGAGCAAACATTTTGGACACAATCCGTAGAAATTATTGCCATATATCTATTTAATGCTAT